GTAAGTGGCATCATAAACCTATCATGGCTGCTAACTCTAAGGGCTGCCCCACACTGGACCTCGCATGCGGGTTGCGAGTTTTTGGGTTTTCGGGTTTCTTCAAAGTCAAATAATACAATCTAGCTGAGCGACCCACACTACCATCTAACAAGCGAGTCTGCATGTTTTTAGCTTCCGAGCTACCTTGCATCGCATTCCAAAAGTTGATTTTGAGTCAACTTTCGATTTTCCTCGCTGCGAGGTCTGCAAGCTCTACGAGGTTTGCGGGTTTTTCGTTGGAGTCAAATTTTGGTTCGTTCATGCTGGTATTGCGACTATATGTAGTTTTCTGAAGGTGTACCGGCTTCACAGCATTCATGAAGTGACCATGAGGGTACGGTCTAATTACTCTATGGGTTAGTATTATGCCCGCAAACTCAAAACCCGCAAACTCGCAACCCGCATGCGAGGTCCAGTGTGGGGCGGCCTTAAGTTGTGGTATGATTTAGCTAGGTGACCGGTGACCTGATGGCATTATTAAAAAAAAAATATTGAGATGCTGTTTATTTATTTATCTGTTTATTCATTTTCACCCCAACAGCAATGCATCCCAATTAGAAAAGGCGAGGCCTACGGCTATGTGCGGGAGGCCGCTTTGCCCCTGGTCGCCTCGTCCCCGCCTGTTATAAACTTATTGAGATAACTTAAACAATTATTTAAAGGTAGTGTGCCAGCTTTCCTGGACCGTATGGAGTTAATGGCCCAGATAAGGAGAACCGGATTTTTAGAACTTATCCATACCTTCAAAACTCATGGAAACGTCTTAAATTCTTCAAATTTTGAGTACCCCAGTGCGAAATTCGCCCCGACGGGTTGTCGGTCGTACCCCAACCACATTTCACACCACTATGAACAATAAATGCACACACTGAAATCGCTATTACCGATATGCTCATCCAATCAAGTTTCGATAAACCCGTTCATCATCATCTCCTGCGGTTTCGAACACGCCTGTTAGGTGGTGCCGGTAGACCGCGCCCAAAGCCAGGGCCCCGGTAACGTGAGGTAGCCGAGTCGGGGCAGCGTGCGCTGACCCAAGCCGGGGCCGCGCGTCCTCCCGGTGTCATGTGATAGCCCGGGGCTGCCCGCGGGGATGCGGTAGACCGCGCCCAAAGCTGCGGCCCCGGCTTGGGTCAGCGCACGCTGCCCCGACTCGGCTACCTCACGTTACCGGGGCCCTGGCTTTGGGCGCGGCTTCTGCTCATACTTTGTGGTGCGGTGGTGGTGCGTCGGGCCGCGCGCTCTGAGTTCGGCCAAGAAAAATGCGTCAGCTGATCATTGTCATTTCTGCCACTTGCGTGTGGTGAAATGGGGTCATAACTTAAGAGACGGCTTTTTCATATCAATTATTTTACATAAAATCATATTTCAAACCATAAATAATGTTCGACAGCCAAATAAAAGAAACAATACCAATACAGGCTTACAGTTTAAGGCTCGACATTGTGTTGTCTACGATTAGACAGCTGATAACTCATTCCCGTACGTCGTAACTCTATAATGACCTTTGCTTATTGTCACATGTGCGCCGCATTCGCGATTGTTGCCGACGCCTGTTTACAGGTCAGCCCACTACAGTTGTTATACATATCGAAAAGCCGATAAACTTTTAGGCGAAAAAGGCACTATTCCAGGCCCATTTTTGATTTTTTTTTGCGATATTAAGTAAAAACAGAAGCTTCTTATCCTAGGAAAAATAAAATGGGAAATCTTTCAAAGGTGGCACACTACCTTTAAAGAAGTTCTTAAGATGCCTTACAAAATTGCTCAGTAATGATCAAACACTTTCCAACAGGTGTTATTCGTTGCACCATACAGCTTCATAGTCATGACCGATATGTCAACCTATATCACGTTACAGTGAGTAACAAACATGGTTTTGTTCGCAGGTTCGTGCCATCCCCTGGCCCTCAATGAGCCCAGACCTGAACCCTATCGAAAATGTGTGGTCTCTAGTGGTTCATGAGCTGGAGGAGGAGCTGCGCCAGCCGGCCCGGCAGCTCAACCAGGACGAGCTCTGGGCCGCCGTCTTGGCGAAATGGGAGGAGCTCCGCCGCCGCCCCGGCTACTTCCGGAGCCTGGCGGCCTCGATGAGGCAGCGGCTGGAGCAGTGCTCCGAGGCAGCGGGCGGCCACACCTACTAAACCGTTCTGTTTGTTTGTCATCTAATGTTAAAGAACAGTGTTTTGTTTATAAATTTTACTTATGTTGCCTACATGTGATTAGTGTGCAAGATGTATATTAGTACAAATGTGACTCAGTGACAAGAGGCTGATGCCTGATTTTTTTCTTTCGTAATGTGATATTCAGGGGACTTGAAACGTCTCAATATTAGTGCGAGCTAGGAGTGCTATGATCAGCAGCACTTGTATATAGCATCGCTGGATTATGTGCAGTGACAGTGAGAATAGACTTGATCACTCAACCTTTTATCCGACAAACCCCAGGACTTCACTTGAAGAAATATATAGCTGACACTCCTGGCATGTCTTGTTTTATTATTTGAAAAAATGTTAAGCTTCGTTTTTAGACGTAGGTGCTACTAGCATGCAGTCATTCCTCTATTGCAGTCATTTCCTCTAACAATGAATTAGTCAACTCTAATTCATTGACAGCGAGAGTTTTATCAGCACCCAGGGCTTCGACAAATTTTGAATGACTCCGACTACTAATAAAACTGTTCACTCCGACCGACTACGGTTCCGGCTTCGACATCTTTTGCATTGAGGATTCCTAAAACGGTTGTGCAAAAGATGAAAAGGAAGATTGGTGCACTATGGCCGTTTTCACGACGGAACTTTCGCAGAGGAACTTATTTGATACCTAAAAAGTACCTACCCTTAGAGGCCTTAACATCCCTCAAACTGAAATATGTTATGTTCAAAATAATTTTAGAAGTTTAAATCCGGGCATTTTTTGCCCTCAAATCACTTATTTATTTACAAACACAGCAATTTTTGGTTCTAGTAGCCCACCTTTCGACTATGAGGTATTAAATCAGCGTGGCAACTTTTGGCAACTCTTTGCTCCCTCGGGTATCTAATTCCGGAATTCTTAAAAACAAGGAAAGTATATATCGAGTTCTCTTTTATACCTATTCAGTTATGTTTTAATGGTGATTAAAATATGGCAAATTTTTAATTACATTTCATATAAGAAAACACGCAAAACAATGAAACAAAAATAACTACGGCAGATAATTACCTTCAGGTATCTAATTCCGACCAATCAGCACCTCAGTAGGATATGACGTCATACAAGAATGGTGGTGAAGGCCGTTTGCAGTCCCGGCCGGTAGGTCACGTGACCGCCGGGCGCCTCGGGTCACGCGGCGGTCGGGAGTCGGACGCGGGGCGTCAGGGAGGCACCGGTTCGTCACGTGACTCGGAAACTAAAATCAGCTGATAGAGTGCCGGAATCCCGACACGAATAATTTCGGACGAGAGTGGCAGTATTGGGTGTTACTCCTGCAGCATAGATGTTTATTGCCTTGTATTATCATTCAATGATCATGAAACTCGTATATTTATATATTTCTTTTTTATGTATTTTAATATTTATATATAATGTGCATAAATCATATATTTCTTCGATGATTGCTGCCGCAATCGAAGCACGCATATCGTAACCAGCACATAAAGCTGTCTTTGTCGATATGATGTGTATCTTAATGACCGGCCAATACCAGCTATGTGTAACAACGCTAGAAAAAAATAACATTATATCTTGTTTCAAACATCTACTTACGTTTTTGTTACAACAGCGACACCATAAGGCCTATCGACGGCCGACGCTATGCAACTCCGTGGAGTGTCGACGCCGACGGCCGCACTCTGCCGAAAGCGCCGAGATCGGAGGCGGACACTCCGCGGCCGTCCACCTGCGCTGCCCGGCCGCTGGAAGGGCGAAGCCGACGCCTAGCTCGTCTGGATGCCATCCACTCAACGGTTACATAGATGCAAAAAGACGACTGCGTGGTACGGCCGCTCACTGCGAGCACAACTAAGCTACTTGGCTACGCCCTCTCGGGGAGGGGAGGGAGGAGCCCAGCGGTGGAACATCTCCAATTATGGGGGGGGGGGGGGCACTGCCGACTTTTAGTCCCATTCTTTCCATGACCATGCAACGCCGATAGGGCTAATGTTAAAATGCCAAAATCAAAGGGGGGCACGGTGCCCCGGTGCCCTCCCCGTTCCGCCGCCAATGGCAACAACCGCCAACAGTCTGAACTCTGTTGAGCCAATGGAGTCTGTGAGCCGCCGCGGCAATCAGCGTTGTTCCGCGCGTAGACGGGAGATCTATTTTCGCTGGTCCGTCAGTCACCAGCATCGTTTCGTGCTCTCGATCGTAGCCATTCGGCCGTGTTGTCGTATGTGCGCCAGCAGCAACAGTGAGAGAGACAGTCTCGGGTCACACCAGTCGGTCGCAAGGGTACCTAGTTATTGTCTATGTACTTTCCAGTGTTGCAAGCGTTGTTGTTAGGAGCCGAGGGTAATCAGCAGTCGACGCATTTGTTTTGTTAAAATATGATTGAAAATACAGTGAGATACCTATATTCAATTAAAATCACATATCACCTTTGATTTTTTTGGCCCCTGCTACAGCGAACAGCCGATCTCCATGTTTCTGTTCCAGAGCTGCAGTGGACATCAAAAATACATTTATGTTCTGATAACTTAATCCAAAAGTACACAGGTTTCACGACAAACTGCCCTTTCATATTTTATTGCTCACAGGTGCTCTGCAAGAAGCGCGCGACTGATTACAGCTAGTGCACCCACGATTACTAATATCGCGCTAGCTAAACCTGCCATTTACATCCACCAACGTCTGTCCAATTAAGTGCCTATTACGATATCGAGCCAGAATGAGACCACGGCATATTATCGTCCTATTACATAGCACAAATTGCGGGTGGGGGTGGGGGGAGGGGGAGTCCGTAAACATACCAAAATCCAATCACAGCCAACACCGTTTTGGGACGGGGAGTCGAAGCCGGGACTCGTATCGACGTATCCTTCAGATATCTGAGCGTCTCACTCATTTCGACACTTAATTAACCCTGGCACACCATCCACCGAGCCAGGTCGGCTCCGACCATCTTGAGTTCCATACTGAGATCTGATAACCAACCGTCAGTTTTTTCTATCAGTCAGCGCGCGCTACACCTTAGCACAGCAAGTGCACTGTGCGACCTTCTTTGGACACCGCCTCGGAGCAGGGCGCTGGTCCTGGGTGCTTGGCGCCTTTTGTTCGTGTACGGCTAGCAGCATTTTCGGGGTCGGATGGTTTCCGCGGCGCTGGTCACCGTGGAGCCGTCGGACGACACCGTCAGATGGAGCGCCCGCGACTGGTGACCTGTGACACAGCGAGTCGCGACACGTCAGATCTCACGACGACCGTCACGTTTCAGTCGCGACACGTCAGATCTCACGACGACCGTCACGTTTCAGTCGCGACGGCCGTTATATTAACAGTCACGGCGGCCGTTATATAAACAGTCATGGCGGCCGTCACATACTAGGCACAGTGAACGTTACACACGAGTCAAGGCGACCGTCAATTAGCAGTCATGGCGACGTCACAGGTTGCGATGGTCCTCAAATTTCCGCCACGGCGACGATAACTCATAGCTCATAGCGTTTCCTGTCGCACATTTAGCCATAATTGCAATACATTAACCTGTTTATCCGTTTCTCACTCAAAAGTTGAAGCCCGAGTCTGAGACCCATCATACGTCACGACCTCTGCAACGGCACCTGCATTAGCAGACATCCCCTCCCGGCAACACACAAAGTTCTCTCCACTCTCCAGCCACTCACCTAGGGACTTGGGGGGGGGGGGGTGAACTAATCTTGGGGGTGACATAGCTATAGTTAAGGCCAGGATGTGCGTCGAGCTGCCGTCGGCGGGCGTGCTACGAATGGCCGGCGGACCTCCGTCAGCTGGCGAGCCACCATCAACTGGTGGGCCGTGGTCGGCCGACGGGCCGGCGGCGGTCGGCGAGCCACCGTCGTCCGTCAGCCGGCCGGCGGGCCACTGTTGGCCATTGAGCCGACGTCCGTCGGTGGGTCTCCGTCTGCTGGCGGGCAGTCTGAATAACAACAAATAGTTGAATTAGTTACCCTAGTGTTCATTGTTCAAGTTCATGAAGTACAAGTCTCAGCACACCCAATTCTATTCATATACACCATATATCCATTTCACTCTACATTGCTTTACAACCATTTTTAGAATAATATTAGTCTTAAACTGTTAGTAAGTGAAATGCTTTTGTGTTCAGTTAGGGCTGTTGAGACCATTGCAGAAATGCAGACCATTGCAGAGCTGGAAGGATGATGGGGAATTAGCTGCTGTGCTACAGTGGCAGTGCTTCTGGCTACAGGTCAGGACGTCCACACTTACCTACAGTAGGGCCTGAGATGGATCTTGGACCCCTGTCAGTGCGGTCTCCCTCTTGATGATGTAATGGGCTGAGGAAAATCAAAGTGATGTTAGTACTGCAACTTATCACAGTTATGAGCAAGGTTTGGATTATATTAGGCTTGGTTTGGTTAGGTTACAAATCAAAATTAACAGCATTAGTAGAGCAGATGTCAAATGAACTACAAAGGGTTTCCAACCAAGGAGAGGCACAGCTGTAGGTTTGTAGGTTGTATGATTTTAGGTTGTAGGTGACTTGTAGATTAGTTTACGTCAGGTAAGGTTTGGTTTGGTGTTAAAAAGAAGACTCTCTGGGTAAAGCACCTCGCCTTGGTAGGAAAACATTTCTGTAATGTCTGCTCTACTCATAACCAAATACCTTGGTCACAAGTGACAGCAACTTATCCGAGCATGATATAGAATGAAACAGAAATAGTATATGCGTATGGACCCCAACCCAACAATACATCAACTTTGTGCGTACCTACAAAAAAAAGCTGCTGGCAACGCCTGTCCCAGGCAATAATGGATAACAAGTAGTCGTTGGATGAAGAGTAATCGTCCATGCCCATGCCCACCCAGAACCACTGGTACCCACATATTGACAACCACTGTTAGCGTGGATATGGATATTGTTGGACGCTTGATGCTTGAGCCTGACGGCTATGCGCCCTAATCCACGAAGAAGAAGAAGTGGATATGGATATCAATTTTTTGTCTAGCTTTGCCAGCAAATTACGAAAAAAATATAACTTACGTTTCCACACAAACACCTCACTCCTTGACCCTTGTCTGAAGTCTCTTCACGGTGATGCTTTGAGTGCTTGATGTAAGGAACACACGACTTTGACCATAAGGCATTTTCTTAAACCATCCAGCATCAACTTTTTCATAGTGTTACTTTTCACTGAAAAAATATATATTTGGGCTTGTGGGAACTTGCAAGACAACTCCCATATCACTAAGAATTGGCTCAAATTTATCAAATCAAATTAAATTTAAACCAAGTGTATGTATTACAATACCATGAATGAAAGAACCTCCATCCATGACAATACAATGCGTGACAATACACAACAAAGACGAAAAATGTTTGTCAAGCTGTTGTTGCTCCGAATCTGAGCTGCTCTGGACCAATCAAACATCGAATCACGCCTACATACGCAGAAGTATTAAAGCGGATGCATCATTAGCAGGAACGTCGAACATAAAATTACGCCATTGCAATTCGACGTACCTCACATTAAAAAACATTTTTATGGCTTTGAGGTCAAAATGAGGTGTCTTACCGTATGCTTTGGTCTTTGGTATTCTCACCATCGATAGAATAATCAATTCTGTACATTTTTCAGCTTTAAATAGATCGCGACTCTCTCTTGTTTTTGAGAAATCATCCAGGGAAGGTGAAAGCGTCACCTTCTGCAAATGTAATGGTGACTTACCTTAGACGCAAAATTTCTGGTCTGTTGATTATTTATGCCCATAATCATGCACAGATAAAAAAGAAAAATAGTTTCCCCGTCGGATAGGGTATAATTTTGGTAGCAACTAGCGGAAGATCTATACAAAATGTCCATTTTGTTCAAAATTGAGTGACAGACAAATGCAAAGTTTTATATTTGGGAGCAAAATTCAATGTCTTACCGTACGATTCTCTTTTAAAGAATTCACATGCTTATATGAAAATAAATTCTGCGTTTTTTGACGTTTTAAATAGACCGCGACTCTCTTTTGTTTTTGAGATATCGTGTGTGAAGTGTGCTGCGGGAGCCGTGTAGAACTGCAGCTCTAATTTACACTTCTTTGAATATATTAGAATTCAGGGCATATACTGTGATGAATTGTAGCTCATGTTATAGGAAAATCTTTTCTGAGCCTGAATATACCACATTTATTGACCAATACATGATAATTTACCCAATATTTGTCCTGGAACATTGCCTCTTCTCGACTCAAAACGGGTCACGATCCATGGATATGCTCGAAATCCTAGAAAGCACCATTTGTAGATATTTTTGTGGATTTACTATTAATTTTAATATTTGAAAACAGAAAAGAAGAGATTTGTGTAACAAACGGCTATAACTTGAAATAATTGCTTTGGAAAAATGGTGTGAATGGCTTGATTTTATTTCCTTTATTAGCATACAGATTTTCTTGTCGGCTCTCCTCTGCTAATGCACTTCAAATTAATAAATGCATAATTAATATGGCCCAAATATGTCGCCTATTTTTCGTTTTTGGGTCTTAATGGCCAGCTGAAGAAAGTGGTCAAAATACCTTAGTGCTGTGGCGGCAAACCGGTTTTACCTAGTTCTCTATATACCGTGCGGGGCGTGGTCGCGGGCGGACGCGCGGGGCATCATGCTTTGCTTTGCTTGCTTTGTCAACTTCATATAACTTACTATCGCATTCGTGTGAAAGCCAAACACTGCTCAGTGCCTTTAGAAATTGAGTTTTGGAAAGCTCAAGTCCCTATAGCTCCTCAGGTCGGCAACAGTTGAAGCCTCATCTGAACCCATGTGAAAAAAAACGAGGGTAAGGAACCTTGTGTTGCTTTTTCTTTTACCGTCATAATTATCTCAAACCATCACAATTTTGAGTTGCCACATTGTCTGCTTCACTACATTCGTGTAAAACTTGGGTGAAGGCTGGTGTCTCAAAGAAAGGTGAAGATATTTCTTTAAGTGCCTAATCCGTGAAATTGAAATATCCCGGCTTTACAAATCTACACTTTTCATTTTCTCCACGATACATTTTTTAAAATTGTTTAAATTTTATCTACATTTGTTAAAATCGGGGCTTTGGTTTTGTGTAAACTAGATCATAAAGTTAACTATAGTTTTGTGTAACCTGATGGCTGAAGAAAATAGTAATTTTGCTAAAAGGATGTGCGGAAATTTGTTGCTTTCCAAATCAAATTACTCATACCTATATTTCATTCAAAATTAGGAGGCATTAGGTATTACTGTTTTTTCTTGTAACATGAACTGAGTTTGGGTACGGTGCTCCGGAAACGTTGTGGAACTTTAAGCTAGCTAGAGCAGTTTCCATAAAAATTGTTTAGATAGTTGACATGGCTTGTTGACAACTCTTTTGCTGTTTCTAAAAAAGTGAAAAAAAATATTTTCCTGCATTAAGCACACAAGGCATGTTATTCTCATAAGCTATTGAATGTGTGTGTGTGTTTTTTAAGCTGTTTTTTTTTAAGCTTTTAAGCTGTAACTTCAGTTACATCACTTTAGAACATATTGCCCAGAATGCGTCACTGATCATGAGCTGGTATATCATATCATATGTAGCAAATACATAAATGAGAATAGTGTGTCATGAATTTTTGTGCATGCTTCTGGATCATCTGTAATTACATCAAAGGCTTGGCTCAAGAGTGTCCTGCCGACCAGCTTATGCCCAACCCTTTCTGTCCGCAGAACGTCGCCTGCGACTCCCGCACGCCGTTTGCCCCGGCCGTCCGTACTGGTCTTCGCGCTGCGAGCCGCGCTGGAGTTCGCGGCGGCGTCGTGGAGCTCCCATCGGGACGGCGTGTGATGCCCGCGTCGAGCTTATAAGCCGTGAGCTTCGATTGGCGGCTCACGCGGTCACCAGCTGTAGCCTCGGCCCCGACGACCCCGCTAATGGCCGAGACCGGCATACTTTCGGCATGGGTCCGCTGTCCGGCGCAGCGCTGGCCGCCCGCATGCTATGCTACTTTTGGCTGTATCGCTGCCCAGCGGGAGCGCGCTCCACGCTGCGGAAGAGGTACACGTTGCGACCCGACTGAGGACTGCAACCGGATGGTGACACGTCGGCCTCTGCGCCCTGGCCGGGGCAGGCGTGACCGACGTCACAGTGGAGGAACGCCCAAACAAGACCAGCCAACCGTCGGAGCAACATGGAAATATCATGTTCTGCCTGGACGTCGGACCCGGCGGCCGCAGTGCACCTGCACACGTGCGGAGAGGGGCGCTGGAGGCTACTCTGGAGCTTCTGCCATTCCGCGGCGCGACTGCTGGCAAAACGGCGGCGATTGAGGCGGTTGGGAACAGCTGCAGCAATGGTGATGGCGGTGACGGCGACATGGCGGTTTGGGACTTCATCTCAGCGCGGCCGCCGCCCAGGCGCCGCTGCGCCCGGCTGCTCAGCCACCTACCGGATGGCGGGGTGGCCCTTACGGCCCTCACACCCGTTCGGTCTGCGGCCACGTTGTGGGGTGGCGGTCGCGGGGTTAGCGGCGTTGGACTTCGTCCTTTATCCAGACTGCACCGTACCATCTGAATGGATGGATCTGCCAAGAAAGATGACATCCAAGGCGGCTATGAGGCGATCACAAAGCTTCACCAAGAGCTTCTCCTTCATGGGGCCGGCCGGCCGTTAAGTCGCAACACCGGCTGCCGAGTGCCAACAGCTGCGTGCGCTGGCGCCGACGCGTTGTGGGCCGCGCTGCTGACGCCCAAGCTGCGATATCAACCATCTATGAATAAGTGGCAGCGGTGGCGGCTTGTCAGTTGTTAACGTGCCTTAACAGACGTTGCGAATAGCCCGCGTTGGAATCGCATGGTTGGGAACACAACGCAAGTAAAAATGGGCTTCCTTGATGAACCTACTTTTTAAGCATTGTAGCCTTTGTAATTTTGGATGTTTTGCTGTAGATATTATTTTCTACATATATACTATATAGGCACTCACGTGCTTTAAATCGCGCAATGCAATTGAACCATGGTAAAGACAATGATAAATGAACTGAGAGCTGACATGCCCCATGCTTTGTGTGTGTATGTGTGTGTGTGTTTTTTTTTTTTTTTTTTTTTGGCGAGTCGATAAAAGTGGTTTTGGACACTGGATGAGTTTTTAGGGGTGTGGTGAGGGGGATGTAATTCCACAGACCTTCTGTCAGATTCACTAATGCAGTAGGTCTGTGCGGTGTTTAGTTATCGGAGCATTCTTTGAAAGTCGTGAATAGGGCCACCGAGTACCTAAAGCCGTGATATTCCCCCACAAAAACTTCTTTTAAATAACCGGGGATAGGTACATGAGCAGAGTAAATGCTATTACGAACGCCTATCACAATGCTGAGCGAATAGGAAAATCCATAGATGGAGAATTGTGCCGCGTTACGGGTGCTCGGGCGCAGCCAATCCACCGTTACCCCAGCGGTGACCTTGACCCGCATCGTCTGTCTCGGCTCCAAAGCCAAACCGGCGTGGAATTGGGAGCGTTCGAGCACTCATGGTCCAGCGCAATTCTCCACCTAAATCCATTCCTGATACACATTTGCTTGCTCATAGTCATGTAACCCCGGTAAATTCACCCAACTTTCATATTGGTCGCTCCATAGACAGATGGCCACAGAGATCAACTTAAAAGGCCATTGTTGCATTCATTTAGTGGAGATCATTAAAGAGCCGTGACAGGCCACAAGTCGCGTGACATCATACGTGTAACGACCAATGACGTCGGCCTGCAAAACCCAATGGAAGCGGCTAGCAGCGTGCAATAAAACAGGGCGCTGCTTTCTAAATGTCTGTCGTGCGCCATAAATGAATATATTCTTTGTAGCCTGGCAACTCAGTATCTTTTTTTAACTATTGTACTAGTATTTAATAATTTCATAATTTTATAATTGTGCTTACGCTTTATGTTGATATTAGTGATAAATCCTTAGAAAAAGTAAATCGATGTGATATTTAATAGAAAAATAGCAAACTAACGCACCATTCATTCGAAAGCTGGGGAACCTACTAAAAAGAACTACTAAAATTCCTGAGGAACCAAAGGATCAAATGGGGATTAAATAGATGCCTGCTATTCCGTCGTGAAAACGGCCTATGTGATATTTATTTTAATTGTCACCCGTGGAAAGGGCCGCACCCTCCTGAGGTTTTTCACGAATAGCGAAAAAAGGCGGCACGTAGTGTCGCCAGCTTTCCGGCTACCTTATGGACCATCCTTTGCGCAACTTTTTGCGAAAAAATGACCGGGTCAGGTCAGGTAACAGAGCTATGACGTCACAAAGGAAACAAGGTCAGGTCGATTTTGCACGAAATCGTAGTTTTTCGATGATATCGGTTACACTTTGGCA